AAATCTCGGGCGAGAGCCAGAGCCAGCGAATTCGTCGCGACGAAAGCTGGAGGGAGATGTTGAAGTTGAAGAAACTCCAACAGAGGCCTGGGTCGAGCGCATGTAGCGCCATGACACCCTCAGATTGGCCTTTAGGCATGCATTAGCCAAAGCTAATGATCGACAGGCGCAAAGTTATAACTTGCGCCGAAGGAAAGGTGAATTCGAGGTCGGCGATCTGATCCTAGTTCGCGGCCACGAGCTGTCGAGTGCCGCAAAGCATCGTTCAGCGTCCCTGAACAAACCGTTCAATGGACCTTTCGTGGTGACCAAGAAACACTCCAGAAACTTTTACCAAGTTTCTGATATGACGGGTCGTAATACCAAAGACTGCGCTATAGTGGACATGAAGCCCTATTGGGAAGCTTTGGAAGACCCCCCGACTGAAGAGTCGGAAGGTGAAGTATAGTTACTCCTGGAGGATTTTTGGCTTGAAAAAATTAGGTTTCGGGTCGAAACCTCTTTTAAGGAGGGAGGTATGTAACGAGATTTTCTCGTTACGGGTTGAAATCCCCGTAAAAAGATATGTGAACTCTTAAAATTATTGAAGAGAGACATTAAGCGACATCTAAAGGCGGCTGAAAGAGGCGCGACTGGATGAGAAGAGCCACAGACCGATGACAGGCTGAAGGCATATCGGTTTTGGGTGGAACCGTGACCCCTGGAAGTCTAGAAGACGTTACTAGACTATCGCTATTTTAGAATTCGCCCAGCATGTGCTAGGGGAAAAGGGGCCGACGTACAGGCTGTTCAACTGGGCGATTCTATAGGCTATGTCGGAGTAGACTAGGGACCAATGGCCAGGTGAAAGGACTGGTACCTCCGTGATCCCGTCGGGTTGATTGGTGGGGATAGGGTAACGGAATGACCTATCGTCGTCGAGATATCCAGACTAGGAGGCAAGGCCCTAGTAAGATTCCGATTTAGTCGAACGCGAGCGCTTGAACCGAGAGGTTGAAATAATCTCTCGGTCTGCTGGACGGTGGAAGGGCTGAAGAAGCCAGGATAAGGAGTTTCGGACTCCACGTCGCCTCGGTGAATAACCGTTGGCGGCGAGCGTAGGGGGATGCTCCTGCATCCCCCACTAGTAAAAAGGAGTTATTTCGGCACACGAAGTGACGACTTTGTTGTTTCCGGCGTCACCCGGCTCANCGGCGAAACAAATGTCGTGCGCATGGGCCCGTGGGTCTGGAGTAGAGATCGTCCTCCTGTCGACCCGACCATGTGCCAACATTCGAGTACCCGGAGACGGTGACGAGCGTTGACCGAAGCGGTAACTGGTGGCCGAGAGTGTGGGTGGTCGTGAAGTGGGTCACAGTGTTCCACTTTGGTCGGATCAGCCTCTCGGCGTCCCAGGCTCAGAGGAGTCCCGGCTGATTCGCATTTAGCTCTGAAAACTCCCCCGAGTCGAAATACTCGGGAGGAGAATTAACACTGGCAGAGTCGAAAGACTCTCCAGAAGGTCATGAATTTAATTCGTCATGAGAAGTTCGCCGCATAATACACGGTATAATACACGGCTTGCAAAGGCTCGTGAGGATGTGGTGGTAATACTCCTGGTGGACCTCGCCCACTCTACCGTATCACGCTGATGTTAGCAACCCACTGTCCAGCCAAAAAGTCCTCTGAGTGGACAAGTTTGCCTCAGAGGCCGGTTTTCGTCGAACCTCCCGTGAAGGTTCGGCTGGCGCCCGACTATTGAGCGATAGAGACGGCCTAAAAATTAGTTTGGATTTTTCCTGGGTGAACAACCCGGGAAAATATCCTTACAAATCAAAGTATAGGGAAATCTCAATATATACGTAAACACCCCACTTCTGCACCCATCACTTTTTTAAATAAATAAATAATTGCATATCATTATCAACAACGGTTTCCCATGAAGTGGGGTAGTAAACATCAAGGTACCGAAAATCTCAAGTTCGAGCGTGTTTGAAAAATGTCAAATGATACCATATGGTCACCGGAAGTTGATACGTCTGGGGTCATCTGAAGTGTTAGGGGAGGTTCTGCTGGACCATGAATAGATCTGTTCAATCGCTACTCAATTAACCCGTGACTCAAAAGCGCTAATTAAACCATGAACCGCGGATTAATCAAGTCTTTCTCCCACCTACCTCCTCGTGGGGGTGGGAGGATTGACTAAGTCTTCGCCAGAGTGCCTTGGAACCCAAAACCGCGAATTACTTCACCCACCCTCTTGAGAGAGTGCATCAATTAAGTCGTGGATACGTCCCCAAAACCGCGAATTAATTGATTAACCCGCTAATCAAACTGAAACACTTGAATAAATAAACCCTTTCACCCTCCCCTTCGCGGGGGTGGATTGAGCAGGTCATCGATAGAGTCTCATTTGACCGAAAAAACCACCAATTAAATTGATTAACCCGCGAATTAAACGGCGACCCGCGGATCGGTCCGCGAATTACACGGTGACCCGCGAATTAATCAACCCTTTCACCTACACCCTTACGGGCGTGGATTGACTCAGTCGTCGATAGAGCCCCATTTGAGCAAAAAACCCGCGAATTAAATCAATCAAGCAGCGAATTAAATTAGTGAACCCGTGAATTAAATTGATTAACTCGCGAATTAAAATGATCAACCCGCAAATTAAACCGCGTCCCGCGATTTATCAACCCTTCTACCCATCCGACGCCCCTCGCGGGGGCCCTTTGGCCAGGTGTCCGTCAGACCATTGGCTCAGAACCCGCATTTCACATCTACTAATATTTTTTGTCATAACGGCTGTAAGCAGCGATTCACAGACGTGTAGCGTCATACGACCTAAGAAAATTTTTCTAGCTCATATAATTGCAACTTTTTCAACGAAATATACTATTTTCACATACCTGCACGGAAAGTTCGTACTTTGCTCCCTGATGAGCGGGAGGAAAGTGAGCTTTCCTCCCGCTCATCAGACAGCAAAATACAAACTATTCTTTGCAGGCGTGTTAAAAAATAGCATGTGCACCTCGGGCGGGAAAATATGACTTTCCGCCCTTGATGCACAATATACTAAATTATCGCCTGATGACGTAATGTACTATTTTGTCACTGAAAGAGATCCAACAACGAACGCATCGCAGGCTCAACGCGATGCTTGCAATTATTTACATCAATTATTCAACCGGTTTTCGATTATTTTGAATTGCAAACATTGCATCAATCCTCCGTTGCATTCATTGTGGAATCTCCTTAGGCAGAGTCTGCAATCGACGTACGTCCTCCGTTTGCGTCGCATTGCAATAAATATAGATATATTATTTACCTTAGCAATGTGACGTCAATGAATGACGCCCATTTATTGTAGACTTTCCTTCAAAGGTGCTGCTACAATTAATGCAACGCAAGACATGCAACGTTTGCAATTGTCAAAAATGATCGAAAAACAGTTGAATGATTGTTTCACGCATTGCGTAAATTTCACAGTGTGTCCGTTGTGGCATCGCCGTTAGTCCGTAAAACGGTGCTCTGCGTACGCTGCGCGTACTAAAAAGCTTTCACGAACGTCATGACAAAAAATATCCCTTGTCACTATGTCGAAATAGTAGATTGTGCACCGAGGGGGGAAAACAGGACATTCCAACCTGCGTATCGTTTGCCACGCGCGGATTTTGATATCTTCTTTTCCTTTTTAGGTGCACATACTATTTTTCGTCATAATTGCACGGTAAATAGTATATTGTGCACCAAGGGTGGAAAGTCATGTTTTCCCCGCCCGAGGTACACATGCTATTTTTCTGTAGTGATCTTCCCTTTTCCTCGTCTGGGGATTGGTATTGGCCCTTGCCCAAACTCGTAAAAGTGAAAATCATTACGGAAAAATATCATTCACGACTAGTGCCATGAGGTTTTTTACTTTCGTCGAGTTGACGTCCGAGCCGGAGGCGAGGACTGGTCAACCAGGCGAGTAAGAAAAGCCCATGGCACTAGTCCTGAAATATACTATTATAACATGTCTGCAAAGAAAAGTTTGTATTTTGCTTTCTGATAAACGCGAGGAAGGTGAATACTTTCCGCTTAAGGGTGGAAAGTTGTTGCCGAGAGAGGAAAGTACTGCTAATAGTTCCGCCTAAGGGAGGAAAGTACTGCTAGTAGTTCCGCCCAGGGGCGGAAACTAGTCAGTACTTTCCGCCCGAGGGAACAACTTTCCACCCTAGAACGGAAAGTACTCACTGTCCTCCCGCTTATCAGGGAGCAAAGTACGAACTTTCCATGCAAGTGTTTGAAAAATTCGGTTATTATTCATAAATGCAGGGAGAAACGTGGGTTATGTCATTCGAGGATCGTCAAAAACAACAGAAATCCGTGGAATGAAATAAGCTACTTTCGTCCCGTCATTTGGGTAGGCGTAATACCTTTCAGCACTACCCGGAACTCTATAGTACGTGTTATATGTGCATATGTGGAAAAGTATTACGACTTAACACACTTGTAAGTTGTAACAGAGAACGGCACGTAAAACCTCGATGTTGGGGGCCTTTAAACAGCGAGTAGAATAACTTGTAACACCATATTCTTTGTAGGACACTTCGAAGGCTACAAAAAAGATTTCTCAAATTTTTTAATTATTAAACCTTATCATTTCAGAGATATAAGTGAATAATTGATACATAACTCTGCAAGTGAGTTTTAGCTCTGAAAACATCTCATCGATTTAATTTTGTAGGGAATTTTAAAAACTATTAGAAACTTATTTGCATGTTTGTCTAACAATTCGGTCGTATTTAGAATGTTAGCTGACAATTGTCAAAATTTCATGCAAATCATTCTGAAAATGTTTTGGAATGTAGTAAGCTCAGAGGAACATATTAAAGTACCTTTTTCATAAAAAATTTCAAAGACTTTGAAGATAAGAGCTTGATAAAGTCTACAACAGCCACTCGTTCCTACGATAGTTTTAAATAATGTACATAAATTAAGAAATTAAAAAAGCCGTTATCTGCTAAATTTTTAAGGGAAAAGTTAGAGAGAGAAATTCAGGAGAAATTGGAGGAACAAGCGAGGGCACATGCAATCAGGGTGAGGGAGTCTATGACAGCCCGGAAACCAGCATGGAGAGCTCTCAGACATGCAACCAGGTATATTGATTATTTCATTTGATACTGGATAATTGTCCTTTGATTCACCAGTTAAAAACCAAAACCCATTGTTTATAGGGAATTTTATGAACTCCAACAGAGATCTTTTGTCATTTATCTCACTCAACTCATTAGTTTTCGAAATGTCTACCGGAAATTTTCATCAGAAATATTAGGTGTATGACTTAATTCTCTGCCTTTTTTCGACAATTTTGACATTTATTTATACAAAAATGAATACAAATCTAATCTTGAAAATGATCGCCGTCACTTTGCACACATTTCTCCCATCTATCGGCCAATTGTCGGATTCCGGCTCGGAAAAAAGATGGGGGTTTTGACTGGATGAAGTCATGAATGCTCTGCCGGACTTTTTCGGGAGATTGGAACTGGGTATCCACCAGGTGATTTTATAGCGCCCGAATGAGGTAATAGTCAGAAAGCGCAAGGTCTGGAGAATACGCTGCATGTGGAAGAATTTCCCAGCCCAACGTGAAGATAACTTTCAGGGTTTCTTTTGCTGTGTGTGGCCGCGCGTTGTCCTGCAGCAAAATTACTTGCCTCGTACCACTACCAGTAAAAGATCTCTTTTCCTTAATCGCATCACTAAATTTCACCAGTTGGTCTTGATAACGCTTAGCAGTGACGGTTTCCCTCTGTTCAAGTATCTCATAATAGATTACACCTTTGGAATCCCACCAAATATACAACAATAATTTTTTCCAGTGAATGTTCAGTTTTACAGTACTCGTTGACGGCTCCCCCGGATAAAACCACGACTTTCGCCTCTTAGGATTGTCGTAAAATATCTACTTTTCATCCCCAGTCACAATTTCATATAAAAAGTCTTTTTGTTTGAATCTGGTCAGTAGGCACATGGCAATTTCACAGCGTCGACTTTTGTTTTCTGAGCTAAAATGATGGGGCATCCAATGACCTTCCTTCTTTATTCTCCCAATTCTTTTTAAACGCCTCGAAATAGTTGATTGAATCACTCCGAANCCTCTTAGGATTGTCGTAAAATATCTACTTTTCATCCCCAGTCACAATTTCATATAAAAAGTCTTTTTGTTTGAATCTGGTCAGTAGGCACATGGCAATTTCACAGCGTCGACTTTTGTTTTCTGAGCTAAAATGATGGGGCATCCAATGACCTTCCTTCTTTATTCTCCCAATTCTTTTTAAACGCCTCGAAATAGTTGATTGAATCACTCCGAAAGTATCAGCAAGCTCCTGTTGTGTTTGACAGGGATTTTCATTGAGTAGGTTGTCCAACTCCTCGTCCTCAAATTTTCTTGGTTGTCCAGGACGTTCTTCATCCTGGAGATCAAAATTTCCATCCTGAAATTTTTTAAACCACTTTTTACATGTGCTATAATATACAGTGCTCTCTCCCAAGGCCAAACAAATCATTTCTTGTGCTTCTGCAGCAGTTTTTCCAAGTTGGGAGGTGAAAAGAAAGGAGTGCCTCAAGTGCTGCTTGTCAAACGACATTTTTATTTACTCTGTTCTTTGAGGTTGTGTTAATCGAACCACAATCGGACTTGAGTGGTTTGATAGCTCACAGATGGCGCTTCAAAACGCCTTTTATTGCGGGAGCATTTTTTAATTCAAATAGGTGCTCTAATCAACTTAATCTAGGGGCCGAGAATTAAGTCATACACCTAATAGTATATTGTACTTCAAGAGCGGAAAGTCAAGACTTTCCATCCGAGGTACACATGCGATTTTTTAACACGCCTGCAAAGGAAAGTTCGTATTTTGCTCTTTGATGAGTGGGAGGAAAGTATGAACTTTTCGTGCAAGGGTGTGAACAAATTTTTACATTTCATTCTCTTATAGGAAAGAACATACAAGGGATTTGGACTTCAGAGCTTCATTACGAAGGGATGAATCTCGAGAACAGGCTGAACGTCATCGTCTAGAAATGGAGTTAATGCTGAATCGTGTGAGACAGATTCCTACGCTCTTTGAACGTTATTCTCAGGTTCATAGGTTTTTTTTCCATGCATTAGTATTTTACAAACTCATTTTGAAGTCATATGTGTGAGGTCTGCGAACACACCCACAAAAAAAATAGCGCATTACTCCATTGACTCTTGAGTTAATCAATAACGAGAACATTTTATTCCAGAGTTTCCACGCAATGAGACAATTGCAGTCATCTCGTTCGTACAACTTGGAGCGTCGAAAGAAGAAACGAAAATCGAAATCCAATATTTCGAGTAATGCCAGCAGTGCCGCTGATTCAAGATCGGATTCTGGCACATTAACGAATACATCAAAATCTTCTGATTCGATCAAATCTCATCGTTCTCACATAATTTGTAATTCCCCCATGAGCAAAAAGAAGACAGAACGAGGCCCTCTAAGGGTTTCTATAAACGAAACTGCTGAGCTTATTGGGGACGATGAATTGAGTATTTCATAGTTTCGCAAATCAATAACTGAAATCGTAAAAGAACACATTGATTATTCGGATTCATACTTCGTTAACATCTCGCTTCACCAATTCATTATCAAAATTTCTTATTGTTTCTCCACATTCCTGTTAATGAACTTAGGTCAAATTAATATTGTTCTTCATTGTTCTTCATTGGGTGATTGTAATTGTCAGTCGAACATTTACACTCATCTAGATATATCTACCCTGAACAATTTACTCGACGAAGAATCCAATTATTTCCAAACTCACACATATCGTTTCCTGCAGAAAGGAGCCAGATTCCTATAGCATCATCAAGACTTCAGTTTTTCCCCACAGTCTAGACTGTGACGCAGAAGTAATATAATAATAAATAGTTTAACATTTAGTAATTTTATTTTTATAATAGGGGGCTACGCCCCCTGCTCGCTCCGCTTGCCAACCCCCATATGAACCCCATATGACCTTCTTGATCCTTATTCTGACCCATAACCCCCATAACCCATAACCCTTATTTGGACTCTTACTCTGACCTTGCGACCCTTATGCTAACACTCACAACCCTTATTTTGACCCTTAATTTTGGAGCCTCAATTTCGAGTAGCAAATTTTCATCACCAGAAATCAATTGGAATTTTTATAACATAGAGAGATTTGATTAAAGCTGCGCTCGAAAACCCAAGCGTTTCTCTCTCGCGCAGAGACTCATTAATATGATACTCCTGCGGTGACAGAATCGATGGCGAATACGCCACCATTATTATTAGAATGAGAAATTTTGCGGTTTTTAAATGATTCTCAACAAAAACCTCCTCGAGGAGACTCCACGAGACTTCCCAGAAACTTATTGACTAGACACACAGCATGTTAGCGAGTAGGAAAATAACTGCCGCTCACAACAGAATACAAATCGAGGGTCGTCCGGTGGGGGGCTGTCCACAAGGTGGTATCTTATCTCCGCTCAACTGGTGCCTGTCAATGGAAGATCAACTTGAAAAATTGAGGGAAGAGGGTTTCCTGGTGTACGGCTACGCGGACGACGTGGCCATCGTAACCAGGGGAAGATTCCTCAATGTCCTGTAATGATTTTTCTTTGGTCTCAACAAATACGCAATAAAACCCTAACCCAGAATTCTCGATTATCCAAACACGACGAAATCATTACCTTCGTTCTCGCAATCCAACAAATCTGAAACGCTAAAAATCATAATGACAAAACTAAACTCCGAGAACAATCAGCAGCTTATTCAATCCTTGCTTCGAATATTTAGAGCGCCAGCCGATTGTTAGCAACGCGGAATCGACGAACCTCAAACGGAACCGTATTTTCTTAAAACTAAATACTGATTGTCCCCAAAAATCTAATAACGACAAAAAATATAACAAAAACCATACGCAGAAATGTGGATTATGAGGGTACGGGAATTATTCGGTTGCTCAGTGTGCGGGTCGTGGAGAGAAAAGTGGATTCGTGGACGAGAACATCAATTAACAAAGCCAATCATCGTTCGAGAAACCAACAAACCAATGTCTCAAACTCTAAACAGGATAGGTATAAGTCGATATTCATAATAAAACATAATTGTACTGACGTGTTCCGCTATTGCCAAAAATTAATACAAAATCGTAAATTCTTGCAAATGCAAAATTACATCAAGGTGACTCAAAATAATTTTAATTACTCTAAAATGATCAACTCAAATCCAACAGACTCGAAAATATGTGAATTGCAATTTTAATTATGAAAAAGAAAGCGATCCTCAGCCAAAGCTGATAGGAAAAAGCAAAAGTATTACCCACGAGGTGAACACGAATCCGAGAGGGAGAGGACGCGCGAGGTAGCATACGTGCGAGAGAAGACGGTTTAGGTAGCTACGCGAAATCGAGAGAGAGCTAGGGAAAATATACATATTTTTCCATCTTCAAATGATTGCGATTCGGATTCTAGATTTTCGAGAGCATTCATAATCTTTTCGCGATAATTAGCCATTTGTAATATAATAAATCATGGATATTATGCATCGGAAAAGTATCAAAAGGGAGGTAGAGAGCATGAATCACCCACGAGGCGGTATTACCGGAAGGGAGCATTTCGTAACCGGAAATGGAAGTTTTCTCCATCGGAATAGGTAACTTCTGGTAGCAAATAATCAATTGACGCATAGAGATCTAGGTTATTTACCGATAGAGAGCTGAATACATTTTATTATTGTGGATTCCAACCATTGAAATTTTAAGGTAACAGAAAGATAGCGTCCCCATGCCCAAACCGGAACTCCACAAAGCTCGAACCATAAAATTAGGGTCAATGAAATGTGAATTATGTGATTTAAATTTGAATTTTTAATCAAATACTGATTTTAATCATTTTAACTGAACTAAATCATAATCACTCAATCTCAAAACTAAACGGAGATGGTTGAGTGGATCTTCGCTCCATCTACGACCGGAATCAGGCAGCTTGTCTACAGAGTGCACTCTCCGGAGAGCAACTACGACTTTACCAACGAAAACGCAAAACTAAAACTAAAAACCCAATGGCGATCCGTATTGATGACTGGGTGATTGTATCCATGACCTTCCAACTGAAAGCCCTAACGCTCTCGCGCAAGGGAGCGCAAGCATTTCAATCCAAAAAAGGTGACTGGGTAGCACATTATTTTGGCCAAATATTCCGCGGTGATATCCCGATCCTTAACCGAATTTTGCGAAGAAGGATGTCAACATAAAAAATATTAACTCAAACAAAAATTGAACTCGATTGAACTATCTAAAAAATAGGTGGTTTAACTGATGAATTTAATTAGAAATATCAGTTAAAAATTGTAGGGAACCGGTTCACACGATGGGTAACAAATATGAGTACTTTGCCGAACTTAAGGCAGCTCTAATTTTTCGTCTAAAAATGTGTCGCATCTCCCCCTCTCTCTCCCTCCCTCTCTCCCCCTCTCTCTCTGTCCCTACCCCTCTCAAATATATTAGATTCGTGCTTACTCCTTTTGTACATAGTTGATAAAAGGCGTTGCAACATATCTGGCAATATAAAACCACATAATATACACATAGTATTATTTACGTAATTTTTCATTGCTTTCGATAAATTAAAAAAATTACCTAATAACAACACAAAAAAGCAAAAAGAAACCAAATTTTTGGCAACCTTACGTAGGAGGAATGTTAAAACGAGAGGTTCACCTTTGTGACAGAAGGGGAGTCCAAAAAGCACATGATGCAATTTATACGCCCCCTATATAAAGATTTAAATTCTAACTTCTCTTGCCTAAATGTTCATAATCAGCGATCATCTGTTAACAATAAATAAGCGTATTCATTCCTTCAAATGGTCAAGAATCCAGTCTGTGTAATACGCAACTCTGGTGTAGACTGAAGGATATCCTGGCGTCTTGCAGTCTCTAGTTCCAAAACTCACGATTCCGTACTGCACGAACTTCACACTAATCTTATTATAGATCGCAGGAGCTTGGAGAGGACCTCCACTATCTCCAAAGCAGGAAAATTGATGGCCTTGAGCGCACAGCTGCTTGTGCCAGATCTTCGTGTTCTTCTTGTACGCCTTCGCGCATTGCTCATTAGACACTAAGGTGAGTTTCCCCTGGAGAAGGTCTGGACTGCCGGAGCCAGTTTCTGTTTCACCCCACCCTGTCACGATGAATTTCGTTTGATGATGTGTGGCTGCATCACCAATGGGCAGACAAATTGGTCTTGCATTTATTGGACCAAAATCTATGGGTGAATCTACTCTTATCAGTCCTATGTCGTTCTGTGACACCGATTTAGTATATGCTGAGTGGAAGTGGATCTCCTCAATCCCGAATTCTTGGTAATACTCGGCACAGTCGGTTTGTACACCATCCGGACCTTTGTTACAGTCTCTCTCTGTTCGTTGATCGTATTCTCCAACACGTACACCTATGAGAGTTACAGCTATTGGGGAAAATAAAAAGTAAAATGAGAAATTGTAAACAAGATGAATGAAATTGTTTAAGTAATTCGTAATTGTGAATTTATTTCGATACCATGTAATTCTAGAAAAGAATGTGAGAAGTTTTTGATAGAACATTTTCTCAGCTTCAAATCAGCTCTGTTTAAAATACAGCAAATAAGTTATTATCTAAAGTTACCGGGCTCAACCGAAAATCTCGACCGACTTTGGGACCCTTCGGGTTGACGGGCAAATCACATAGCAAATCGCCAAAGATGAAATTTCAGTAGTATCAATCGACTCCTCAAACAGTATACATCGGTTAGTCAGAGAGTCACCTATAGAGTACAATATCAAAGTAACCGTGTATTGTACGATCAAACGAACTTACCTGTAAGTGAAGTTCGATCGTGATTATAGTATAAAGAGCCTCATCGAGAGATTTTAATAACTTGTAGTAGCCCGCCTGCGGCTAGATGGAGCCACATGCCTTCAGAGACCATTCAAAAAGTTGGCTGTGGCACTTCGGCGGTGAGGGCTCGCCATCTTATCATTAGTTTAAAGTTAAGCAATAGTATAGAAAAAATTGGACGGGTTTGGGAAAGCTAGTTGGGAGGGACTGAATCTCTCGACAAGGCTCTTTATATAATCACGATCGGACTTCACTTACAGGTAAGTTCGTTTGATCGTACAATTATATTCGAGCCTCGTCTTCGAGATTTTAATAACTTGTAGATGTTCAGAGATCATCCAATTTTTTCTTTTTGTTTTGTTTTTTTTTTTTTTTAATAAACCCCAAATTTAATATGAATATGAATATTGAAGAGTTTAAAGACGAATGTTAATGGACAAAAAGAATGGTTATTGACTAAACCATATTCAATAGAACTTTGACAAAAAAGTGTTGATCAACCGCGGATACGGCAATTATAGAAATGTACAAATCGTACTTCTAAACCTTTCGAGACTTACTCGTTTTCTCACAGCAGCTGAAGCTGCTGTATACTTAGTACTGTAAGTTGAGAATTAGCTGTATCGACTCCAAGATGGCTATAGGACAATATAATCCGTTAGGCCAGTGTTTATGGAGATTTGCAGCTATAAAACTCTCTGAATATAACGAACAGTATAGAGATGTTATATCTAAAATCTCAACATACTACAGAAAGCTACCTTGGCTGCGCAAAAATGATACCTTTCAAAACGGGAAAGAAGAAACAGGCTGTGGATCGCCTGGGCGAGAAGATTGTAACCTGTCCGGTATCGTGAAATCCAGATTTGAAGCACCTTTGACACTGTTCTCAAGTTTAATGGCAGAAAACGTTTGTCTTCTCTGCGAAATACTCAAGGCCAAAAGAAAGACAGATTTTCATTAAGATGAAGAATTGACAGATTTGCCTTGAGTGGGAAAGACCTGGGTGGTAGGTCAGAATACACTCAAGATACTAGATGTGATTGCATTGTGATTTACCAGGACGTAGTTTGAAAATTTGTTGAACAACCTTTGGAATGTTAAATTTTTTCCCACTGTTTCTTGATTTGGTGGAGTTTACTTTTTCATACGCTGTTCCTTATTTGAACTCTGCCATTAAAAATGTGCAGGATAATTAAACTAGATGTCAAACAGAAGTGAATTTTCTTCCATTTATAAAAATGCACCATTTTTCAAGAGTAGACTTTGTTAAGGACAAAGAGAAACATTAACATCAGTCTCGTCTCATGCACCTAGTACCAGGTGAAAGTAAAAGATCCTTCAAGGATTTGATATCGTAATTTGTTTCTGAGATGGGATAAATGAAAGCAAGGAAGCAGAGTTGAACTATCTAACAGGGGGAGACCATTATACCATCGGTCTCACGATTGGAATTCTACGAATTGTGACAAATTCACAATTCATTCCCAGGCTAGATGTAGGGGATACGTAGAGAAAATTTTGTCACCAATCGAGACTGAAAAGGTGTCAATCGCACTGCAAGGAGATTGCCGGGCTACACGCATTAGAGATTGCGTTGATATTTTGACAAGAGGTACAGAAAAGGTCCATTTTTGGATTGAAAAAATCCTTCTCACCTAAGTTTTGAAATACTTAGATTGCAATGTACAGGTCCAGTATTCACTTTGGAAGGAATATCAGATGCATTCAACCGAAGCCTTCGCAACACTGCCAAAACTCTCGAACTGATTCGTTTCGGTGAGAGAATTTTGTATCTTCCAACCCGTTAACGTAGGGATTGCCTGCGCTGTTATTAAATCAGAGCACACACTCACAGGATCATAGGTCGTGAAAAAACACCTAAGAGCTAGGTGAATGGTGAAAAACATTGAGGAATTTATATTGTTGGGACTTTCTCATACTGGCCAGATGTCTCGATTTGATCTTTTAACCCAGAGGTAGATTTCCAACCTATAAGAAAGATGCGCCTGAAAGGATATTTGTTCTAGACTGATCAGCTCAAATAAGAGCCGATAAGAAAGATCTGGCCGAGGAGAACAAGAGATTATTCAAAATTATCATAATTAATGATCATCTTGACTTTTTTTTAAATCTTTCAAGTCTTTCAGCGTAGCGTATACTCAATGCAAATATTGGACCCATACAATTTAAGGAGCTTATGAGGTGAAAACACACTCTAATGGAATACATTGTTCCAGATTGCAGATGGTGACATAGAGTATTTATTGTGAAAATCGCTATAACGCATATCTTTCATAAGGCGTTTCTAGGCAAAACTTGTAAGAGTCATTGATAAAATCAAGGTATTCACAAAGCTTTTTGCGTTTTAATACGGCTCAGACAAGAATAGAATAGAATAGAATAGAAAATGCGCGACTGGTCACTTAAAGCGCCCCGAGTCACCTAAATCATACGATCTTTTGTAACATCCGCCTTAGTTTCGGTTAGTCACACAGCCCCAGCCCTGTGTTTCTCACTAGGCTAATAAGGCTGGTGACAGCCGCTTGTTGTAAGTCCTCTGGTTCCAGGAAATCCTGGCCCCAGATTTTATAGCGACAGAGTGCTAATAGGGAGCGCCGTAAAGTTGGGCGGCCAGGGTCCTCGGATCGGACCCGCACTCAAGCCAAAATTACCTGCTTTTTACGTGCTTTTTTTCTGCACAAAAAAAAATTTTCTGCTACAATAGTTTTTCCGGAAAATCGATTTTCATGATTGGAGCATCAAGTCAGGCGGCCACATTACCTAGATCAGATCGATGACTGCACTAGAGTCAAGAGCTTTTTAAGAGCTAATTTTCTGCGAAGAAAAAAGGGGAAAAAATAATTTTGCCGGGAAAATCGAAATTTTCTGGTGGAGCCTGGAAGCGACTGTCCTCGGATCGGACCCGCAACAAGGCCAAAATTACCTGCTTTTTACGTGCTTTTTTTCTGCACAAAAAAAAAATTTCTGCTACAATAGTTTTTCCGGAAAATCGATTTTCATGATTGGAGCATCAAGTCAGGCGGCCACATTACCTAGATCAGATCGATGATTGCACTAAAGTCAAGAGCTTTTTAAGAGCTAATTTTCTGCGAAGAAAAAAAGCGGAAAAAATTATTTTTCTGGGAAAATCAAAAATTTTCTGGTGGAGCCTGGAAGCGACTGTCCTCGGATCAGAACCGCAACCAGGCCAAAATTACCTGCTTTTTACGTGCTTTTTTTTTACACAAAAAAAAATTTTCTGCTTCAATAGTTTTTCCGGAAAATCGATTTTCATGATTGGAGTATCAAGTTAGGTGGCCACATTACCTAGATCAGATCGATGACTGCACTAAAGTCAAGAGCTTTTTAAG